TCATATTTTGTGTAATAGATTGTCGATAAATTGCCAACTGTGCACAAAATATAATTGAAAGACAGATTGTAGGTTTTCTTTTGATGGCACTCATATAATGGTAAAGTAATATGACTCGGAAATTAACTTTGAACTCAAAATAACGCACATGCACGTATTTGAAATAATGCGCAGGTGTTCAAAATAACGCTCAGATGTGCGTTATTTCGCGGTTTTACGGTAAATTTGAAAATCTAATAATAGAACCTATAATACCAATCATTATTTTATCAAAGTTATATAAGATTTGTTGCTTCATTTCATCAGGAATATATTCAATAAATTTTTCTCTATATTTTTCAATAAGTTTTTGAATTTTATCAATAAGTTCTTTAACTTGAATATTTGTAAGTTTACTAACTAATTCTTTTATTTTATGAAACACAATTGATTGTTTTTTCATTCCTAATTTATCACAAACAGTATCTTTTGATAAAAGATTTTTAATATGTTCTTTCAAATGTTAGTTAATTTCATTTTCTTTGAATTCGTTTTTACAAATTAGACAACTGATAAAATTAATCTTTGGAGTTGATAAAGTTGTTGTTATAGATGTTGGTTTCATAGAAGAAGGTTTTGTTGTTACTGAAGTTGTTGGTTTATTTGTAGTTGTTGTAGGTATTTCAGTTGTTATAATTTTTGGAAAATTAGTTGGTCTTGATGAAAGTGTATTAATTGTTATTGTGGGTGGTAGATTAATAGTTGTAGTTGGAGTATTAATTGTTGTTGTGGGTAGTAGATTAATAGTTGTAGTTGGAGTATTAATTGTTATTAGAGGTTGTCTATTATTATCATCTTCGGGTGGAAGAATTGGTGTTGAATTTGGTTTATCTATATTTTTTCTAAATATTATTATTAAATAATAAAAAAAAACAACAATCATCAAAACTAAAATATTTACTTTTTCTTTGCACATTTATCATCTTGCTCATCAAGTTTTTATTTTAAATCTTCAATTTGAGCTCCCAATCTTGTAATAGCTAAAGCAGAATTTTGATTAAGATCAATCTATCTATATGATTGATTTAATTCTAATACAGTTCCACAGGGTCTTCTTAAAATCCTTTTTTTTGTCCTAGTGCAAAAGCGGTACTAAGATTATATCTAGATCCTTCATCTTGATCAGTTATATATTTTAAATACCTTAATGATTCATTAATATCTAATGCAGTTATGAATCAAAAGAATCTAGTATTAAATTAAACAAATACGTTTCCATCTACATTAGATACGAGTAATGCATCATTGTTTTTTAATTTTCCATGTAAAACAAAATATTTTTTCATAGTCACATTTTAAACATTCTACTGTTTTGATTTTATCATATACAATATTATAATTTTATTTAATTGGACTATTAATTAAATCATTAAGATCTTCGAATACATTTTCTGCTAGTAAATGACTATTATTTGGTACTTGTGCTTGACTGATAGATAATTCACAACTAGTTTCCACTTGAAGAATTATTGCTCTAATATGAAAATCTTTTCTAATTGGATTGATTGTATATGTATCATCAGCATCTACATCTCTCTGTGCTTGAGCTAATGAAAATCGATATTTTGAAAGTCCTTGTTCAGTACTATTAGCTTGAAGAGAATCTAATGTATTATTTCCATGACCAAGGATATTTACATGTAGGATTTGATAAAAATCTAACATGAGTTTATTTCCTGTATTCATATTGAAATTTATATCTTGAAATAATAAAGTAGAAGCATAATAAAGTTGAGGCCATCTAAGTAAAGTATTATTTCTATCTGCAATAGTAGCAGGTATTGTAAGATTGGCTTTTCGGCTTCTTCTTTGAATTAATGAATTATATTTTACTTGTTCAGCTGAATAATCTTTTACTCCACAAGTTTTTTCTAGTTC